TTGACGCAGAAAACTTTGCGCTAGCTAGCTCTGCTGAACAACCAGTTCAACCCCCTTGAGTTTGGAAGTCGGCAAACGATGCGCGCCCTTGACACCCGAAGTGTATAAGCGAGTAGGGGCTACGGTGCCCGTGAAGATCAACCTGTGGCCTAGCTTCGCTGTGCTGCACGGCTGGTAGGGAATGGAGGCATTGAACCCTGTAGGTAGCCCCTGCAAAATCACCTGCACTAGCTCCAGTATATTATAGTATACTATAGTATATCGGGGTTATATAGTGGTTGTATTCGGATAATGGAAAATAAAACGGAAACCTGCAGTAGCTCCTAAAACCCATTCCTTCCTGGCTAACCACCAGAAAGACGAGAAGGATAGATGTCTTCGGCGCTCGTGCACAGGAAGCCGGAGCCCCAAAAGCCTTTTAAATTAATATGGGGGTTTCCCAAAATTAGGGGTACCATTTTGGGGGTCCCTATAATAAGGACTATAGTATTTGGGGGTCTATATTGGGTCCCCTTATTTTGGGAAATTACCATATTATCATTATTTCTAGTATTATTATTTGCTATTCTTACAATTATTACTATTACTACTCTTACTACTATTATTATTACGGTGATTATTACGATTGTTATTATTTTAAGTACTATTAGCATTATTATTATTATTCTGATGATCATTATTACTGTTGTGATTATTGTTCATTATTGATTTTTCTTCTTGTTATTATTGTTATTCTCCACTCCAGTTTCGAGGTTTAGGCATTTGCGGTGTTGAGAATGTGCGGTTTCGAGATCATGTACCCACATGGGCCCCTATTTGTGGGGAGTTCCCGCGAAGATTCATTCTATCTTCTCGGCGCGTGGAATCCAACCTTAAACCCCAAACCCTAAGGCCTAAACCCCAAACCGAAACTCTAGCCCCCCACCAAGTCGGACTCCTGCTACTTACTTTGCTACTTGGAGGTTCATGGAATTCAAGAGCCAATTATGCATTTGTTTGAATGTGTTGCCCCAACTGTAAATGGGTTCTATTGCCGGTTAGAGCGTGTGACTAGTTGTATATACCCCTACATACCCCTATAACCCCTATATGATGGTAACTTAGTTAAAGTATATTGAGGCGGAGATCCCCGAAGCCCGAGGCGTCTGCAGAAGAACTGTGGGACTCCCTGAGCTCTGGAAAGGCTGGGATGCTACCTGGAGGGCTTAACCCTCAACCCGGTCGAGTCTCGCTTTTGCAAGCAAAATCACGGTCCGTAGGGATAACCCTACCTAATAGTGGGGACTTGAATGGAAAGGCATGGAAAGTCGGGTTATGCGTGTGTGATATAGTTGCTTTTATTTCAACTGATGCTTGTTATACGCTCGGAGATCAAGTCCGAGAATGTCATTTTTGCAACAGCGGCCTCCGCAAATTTCGGGTCCCCAGAACTACCGCCCAGACTAATATCGGCCCTGTAAGGACCCAGCGGAGAAGCATAATCTTGAGAACATCCTAACTTTGGTGTTGCGCTGAGGGTCCCACTTAGGACCCAACCAAAGATAAGTGGGGTGCTGGTTTCAACCCTCTTCCCAGATGCGGCTTGCACAGTGAAATCCGGTTTATGCGAGCTAACTGAATCCCTGCGCTGTCGACTCTGTGCTGAGAAATCCCCTGCCACAGTTTTTTCCTGCATGAATGTGGTATACCCCTATATACCCGTACATACCCTTGTATTACCCCTATATACCCCTATATACCCCTATATTCCCCTATATACTCCTGTATACCCCTATATAGCCCTACATACCATTATACCCTCTATATACCCCTATATTATGAGTGCTGTGTCAATCCACTACCTCATCCCTCTAATCAACAGAGATTCTTCCAAAACCTCCCCTGAACCTTACATTCCAGAGCCTAAGCCATTCCCAGATTCCCCAAACCCTAAAAGCAGAAATCCATAAATCCCTAAATCCCTAAACCCAAGCCCCAACCTCCAGAAAAACAAGCTAAAACCCCGAATCCCCAAACTCTAAACCCCAAACCCTAAAACCTAGACCCCAAACCCTAAACCTTGAATCTCTAAACCTTAAGCTCCCCAACCCTGTTGCTACTGGGCTGATTGTCGCCAGGTTGCGGTCGACAAGCCAAGTTGCATGCGGGCGCAGGTGCGAGAATGCAGACCGAGCCGATGTAGGGGCCTAAATGGGATTATATGAGGGTTTAGGGGTTGGGGTTTAGGGTTCAGAGTTTAGGGCTTCAGGATTTAGAGTTGAGGTTGTAGTACGGCGTTTGGGTTTTAGGTTTTAAGGTTTAGCATTTTAGGGTTAGGGGTTTAGGGTTTAGGGTTTGGTTATGTGTGGGTATAGAAGGATTTTATAGGGTTTAGGCCCGCCACTATAACGGTTGTACAGCGGTTATATAAGGATACTTAAATAAGTATATATATTTCTATATACACACGTATATATCTGTATATACATGTATATGGAAGATGTGAATTGAAAAGCTCAGGCATTTGGGAGTAGGTTTCAGTGATTAGGCATCTTGGCCCAAATATGTAACTAACCTGGAAAATTGACGATGAAATGGAAACTGGGGTTATCTATGGATCCTCAGATCCTGGAGAGATCCCTTTCTTGAGAACCTTCCCATACACGGATATAGATTAATATATACATATACATATTGATATGTATATGTATATATATATACACATATGAATATGCATATGTATATGTATACGTATTTGCAGCCTTTGGCCACCTTGTCCTGAAAGTCCTGTGAGTGCCTCCGACGTCCACCATGGAGGTAAGCAGCAAGGTAGCCGACCTGATGCAGCAGATCAATCTGCTGGATGACGTGGACTTTTCCAGCCACCTGAATCTGCGAGGAACATGATTTTCTGCGATTTTCTGGTAATCTTCCGGTGACTGAATTGAAGCTTACACACCCCTACGCATCCCCACACCCGTCTAGGCGGTCCCTGACCCCCAGACCACAAATGATTAACATGCTCGCAGACCCCCATAGAGATCTAAATACTAGATCCCCTAGAATTTGATCGGGAATTACATGGAGATTGTACAGGAGTTATTTTGTCATTATATAGGATTTTTTGCCCTGTTTTCCCGAGCCCTACAAGGGGGATGCTAGCAGTAGAGACTTGCTTGGAGGATGTGATCTCATGAATATAGGCTTTTTACAATTCTATCGTGGGTCTGAGTCTTGGCTCTGCAGCTACAGGTCTCTCCACACTGGTTCAGCGAGCTGGGGCAGAGCCTCAGTGGTGGTTAGTAGGGAAGAAGTCCTAAACCTTCAAGCCTTAAATCCTAAA